GCCTTGTTTCTAGGTCTTTGCTTCTAAAAAAGGGTGGGGAGGGCTGCTATAAAATTTTTTGTGTATCTTTTTGTCATTATCCTCCCTTTGGTATCTGCCTAGCACTAGGATCTTGTACTTAAAGGTAGTAGATATTTTAAGTCACTTTTTGGATGTAATTCCAAGTTCCTTTTTCCATTGTTTACTGGTAGATTTTTGCTGTGAGCCAAACTTAGAATACTGTCAATGATTCAATCTCATGTCCCTTTGAACCTTAACCCCACACACCCTTTGTCTATGTGTCTATTTGATCTGTGCCAGTACAATTTTCTTGCATACGTGAAGCAATCTGGTTTATGTACTTTGTTAGGAAAGAGTTTACAGTCAAAATGTCATCCCTTGAATCAGTGAGCTCTCCATTAATACACCCAAGCAAAGCTGAACAATTATATATATAAATGTGTATTTATTCATCTTTAAAGCTGTGTAAAAAATAGAATTTTTAGCAGCAGCTATTTTAAATACACTAAAGAAATATGTCATTTGAAGAAATCCTAAGTTGAGGCATATTGAAAAAAGCAAACATCCTCCAATTTGGTTTTTAATGTTTCAGCATAAAGTGGAATATAGTTGATCTAATGAATTAGGTCAACTAAGCTAATTGAGTGACATTTGGGGCCTAACATCTTAATTAGCTGCCTCCTCTACCTAGTTCATCAGCTAATTGCTCTGTTGTCTTTGGATAATAAGTGGATGTGAAGGTCTGAGCTCTGTTGGGTTCAAGAGTGGTTAGCAGAAGTTCTTATGTGCGTCAGCCATCATGATGTCATTTTTTTGGATGAATGAGACCAATTAACTAGGCCTTAAGTTAAGATGCAGGATTTTTTTTGGGGGGGATGCAGGCATGTATTTTTTTATATGTGTGCCTGAACCTCTTGTATGTGTTTATCTAACAAAGGCAGTCTGGGGAGGGGGAGGTAAGCCGTGTATGAAATGATCATACATTGCTCTGTTTTAGATAGGCATATACATATGCAATCTTTGTCTGTATATAACATACACTTAGAACCACAAAGAAAGAATCTAAAATTCCTCAGGTCTAGGTCCCACCCCTCAGACATTCAAGTTTGATGGCTGTAAGATCTCAACAGTCAGACATTTACTATTTCCCTTAGGGAGGTTATGTCAGTGCCTCAGTTACCCTTAGAGTTAAGAAGTTTTGTCTTATATCCAATCTAGTCTTCTTGCTATACCACCAACCCATTTTGTTTTGCTCTGTGGCTGAACATCACTATCCTCTCTGTAGAATTTTAAGAGGGAAGTTTCCCTCACTTATCTGAATAGATATATTCCGATAGCTTTCTGGGCAGCTTCCTTTAATGCAAATGTCTGTAAACTGAATTTCACTGGGGAAAGCAAAAGAAAAATAAATTTTTAATAAAACATTAACAAGTAGACCCAATATTAACAGTATACTCATAATACAAACAGTAATGCTAAATATTAACTGGGCTTAAAATAAGTCACATTTAAATATGTGTGTTATGTTTGTATGTACATGAAACATACAAAAATATTAGAAATTAGCAGTGTGATTACTTCACAGATTCTTCCTCCCTGAAAATGTAACAGTCTCTAAAACTGTTGCAACTAGATTGCCTGTTTTCACCAGCCTCAGAATGACTTTACCTCCCAAGTTCCTTCCCAGATCATTGGTTTAGAGTTTGAAGGGACCCCAGATTTTCAGAGTTGGAAGAGATCATGGCAGTCCTCTAGTTCAACCAAAATGTAAAAGGAATCTCTACTATAATATACTCAAGAATTACATGTTTATTTGTAGACTTCCAAGGAGAGCAGAAGGCACTAGGTGGAGAAGTAGATAGAATACTGAGCTTGGAATCAGGAAGACTCTTCAAATTCAGCCTCAGACACTTACTAGCTGTGTGACCCTGGGCAAGTCACTTAACCCTGTTTACTTCAGTTTCCTCATCTGTAAAATGAGCTGAAGAAGGAAATATCAAACCACTCCAGTATCCATGCCAAGAAAACCGCAAAGGGGGTCATGAAGAGTTGGGCGCAACTGAAATGACTGAACAACAACAACAAAATAGGAGAGGAGTCTGTCTAGTCTACTTTTGATAGGTCAATTGTTGGGAATTTTTTCCCACGTCAAACTTAAATTATCTATTTGAAACTTCCACACATTGCTCCTGTTTTGGCCTAATTCCTATTCCACAAAGCAAAGAGACTTTAGACCACCTCCCTTCATTTTACAGACTAGGAAATTGAAGTCTAGAAAAGTAAAGCTACTTGCCCAAGGTCACAAAGCTAAGTAGCAGAGCTAGGATTTGAACCCAGATCCTCTGACTCCAGATGTCTTTCCACCATACCATGGTAGCTCTTTGTACTTTTCCATGAATTGATTTTGTCTTCTATCCAGATGTCTTTGCCTGGTAACTCCTGCATAGTTTGTTTTGCTTTCCTTGGGGAGAAAGAGCATCATGTAAGGCTTTACAGATTGAAATGCCTGGCTCTTGCTTGTGTACTGGAATATGTGGTTGATTGATGGTGGTCTATCTGACAATGGTCAGAAAATTAATAAATTATGTCCTATTTGACCATTCTATCCCCAACCCCAAAGTCTGATGGCTTCCTTGGAAATATTAGCAAAGCAAGATGGTGGTTTGGGAGCTTCAAAACATATTCCTAATGTTAGGATATTAAACAGTTGACAGAATTTGTGCTCAACATTACAACTAACAGTAGTGGGGAGGGACAGAGGAGGATCACAGGACTTCCCCATTGCCTAAATTTACAGTGTTATTCCTCAGAGTAAATACATAATGATGCATGAATTCTTTAAGTTTGGAATCCCCTAAGTATTCAGAAGTTCCTAGAAACAGAACTAAATGGATCCTTGGAAGTCATTGAGTCCATTTTATAGATGAGAAAACTGAGGCCCAGAGAGGTGAACTGTCATGTCCAGGGTCATATAGGAAGTAAGTCGCACAGATATAGCCTGAACCTAACTGGACCTTTCAGCTTTACACACAGCCTGCTTTCTGCGGCACCACGCTGAATGCCTGGCAAGCAAAGTTGATCGTTAATTATCTCTAGCTCCTGTATTCCACATTCAATAACCACAATTCATCGACACTTTATGGAAGGATTTATTAGCTAACACTTTAACAATTTCGGTGACTTTCTATATCCTCACCACTTCTCTACATCTCTTTGGATGCGGAAGGCTTGGTGAATATCAAATATAGAAGATGGGGTATTCATTGCCCTTTATACACAATGCGTTCCACCCCTGTCCTGCAGGAAAAAAAATAATTTGATAAAGCATATGAAATGATAGTAATTGCTGGGTTTGATGCTGGAAATCCAGTGTTATTAATTAATTTGAAAGTGATAAAGGTTATTATATCCATTCTTGTAACCTGGTGCTACTTTAAAACTGAAAATAAGGCTAGTAAGTTTCTATTTATTACAAACTGTAGCTTGAGTTGTTCCAAAGAGGACCTGCCCTAGGACATGCTAACTGGAATGGCAAGATTTAGGGTGCAGTTTGCAACATACACACCGTATGAATCCTCACTAAAGGTATATACAGCCAGAAGCATTATCCCAAACCTGAGAATATCTTAACTTGGAATGCTGAATACTGTTCTGGTTACTACACCTCCAGAAAGATACAACAGAAGCTAAAAGGAAGCAGAGAAAGGCAGCTCACATGTTGAGGATGCTTAGATTTCTATACATGTGAAGATAAGTTTAAAAAAATTAATCCAAAAGATGTTCTATTTTAGATTGTCCCATAACAAAAACCAAAACATTTTGTTTTGTTTTCTTTTTGTGTTATTATTGTTGCCCTTTTGTCTCACACATACAATATTTCATCTCCTATCTCCATGCTTTAGGACAGACTGTATGTTTCCTCTGTTGGAATGTTCTCTGTCCTCACCTCATATACATATATATGTGCATATATCTGTGTACTTCTTCACCTCATATCCCTAGCTTCATTTAACACCCAGTGATGTGCTATCTTTTTTCCATTAGACTTTGTCATATCTACCAGCTGCTGTTGCCAGCTCCATCCTAATACCACTTTCACGTGTGGTTTCTTCTACAGAGTTTCCTCAAAGCCCTTGAGATTGTTTCTTTTTTGACCCTGTAAATCTGGCTTATGAAACACAGGGCCTATGAAGATTAGGAACTTAATATTTGTTTGACTTTAACTAGACCTGTGGTAGGTTAGGAAATTTTAAAAGGGGAGAGTTGGTATAAAATTTTCTTGTCTCAGGGAAGCAAACACTTCCCTTAGAAATATATGGTAAGTGTTGGGGCCAGTGGGTGGAACAAGGGATATAGGGAGCATGGTAGAATGAATAGAGTGCTAAGCTTGGAATAAGGAGGACCAGAGTCACCACCAGCAAATCACTTAACCTATTTGTTCCTCAGGCAACTCCCTAGTCCATATCTACTGCGTCATAGACAGGTTAGGGTCTGAGCTGATGAAAGGACAAAGGGATAAAGGAAGCTTCAACACCCTAGTTCCCACACTGATGAAATCATTGAGCCTTCACCTATTCAGGTTGGGACGGATGGGGCCGCAGGCTGTTCTGTTGGACCCTGCCAGCTCAACCAAACAAAGGCTGCAATATTCTCTTTCTTGGCTCTGGATTCCCAGAGGGTGTGGTTATGATCTCTGGCAGTAGAGTACAGGTCCAACACAAGGGATTAGAAATACAGGAAATGCCATTTTCCTAGACTGCTTTTCATTGTTGTGCTTACATTTCTAACCAGGCTGAAGATAATTATATGCTCCTTAAAGGGGGGAAGGGGAGGTGTGAGAATGCCAATGAAGAAATAAAGAAGGAAAATAGCTCCTTTGCCCTCCAAAAAAATCTAATGAAAGAATGTAGACTACTGACAGTGCTTCCATAAGCTGTCCTTGATATTTTTGCAGCCTTATTTGTTATTAAATATTGTATCTCTCTGTCTCTTTTGGGTAGCCTGGGGAAGAGCAGCAGCTGCTATGCTCATGTGTGGCTGCATCATCCTGGTGATCTGCTTCATCCTCTCCTTCTTTGCTCTTTGTGGACCGCAAATGCTTGTTTTCCTGCGAGTGATTGGAGGACTGCTGGCCCTTGCTGGTAAGAATGTGTTTGAAGAGTAATTTTCTTCCCTAATATCTGTGAGCATTGATACCATAATATGTGTCTTGACAGAGACTGCATCCCACTGTGATGTAATGGAGAGAGTTCTGGCTGTGGAGTCAGAATCACAGTTGTGCCAATCACTACCTGGGTTACCTTGGGCATCTTCGTTAACCCCTTGGGCCCTCAGGTTCCTCATCTGTAAGATGGGCTAGATGACCTCCAAGTTCCCTTCCAGCTCTAAATCTATGATTTTGTTTTTGGAAACAACATAGGAGGCACAGAAATAGTAACACATTTATACAGCACTTTGAGGTTTACAAAGTGATTTCTTCATGTACTTGTTTTTCACTTCTGCCTCTTAGAATGCTTAGATTTCTTTAAAAATGAGCTCAGATACCAGCAGTGACACAACACATTTCCTGAGCTCCCCAGTTGCTAGTGTCCTCCCTCTCTAATTACTTGCTATTTCTTTGGTATATAGTGTATATTTACTTATGTATACATGTATTTCACTTGGTAGAACATAAGGTCCTTCTGGAAAGAAGGGGCTTTTGTTTTTGTCTTTATATTTCCAGTGTCTAGCACAGTGCTTGGCACATTTGTTCCTGTTCAGTCATTTCAGTCATATCTAACTCTTTATGACTCCATTTTGGTTTGGGTTTTTTTTTTTGCTTTGGTTTGGTTTTTTCGCTTTTTTTTGGTGAGGCAATTGAGGTTAAGTGACTTGCCCAGGGTCACACAGCTAGTAAGTGTCACGTGTCTGAGACTGGATTTGAACTCACGTCCTCCTGACTCCAAGGCCAGAGCTCTATCCACTGTGTCACCTAGCTGCTTGGAGGTTTTTCTTGGCAAAGATACTGGAGTGGTTTACCATTTCCTTCTCCAGCTCATTTTACAGATGAGGAAACTGAGGCAAATAATATTAAGTGACTTGCCCAGGGTCACACAGCTAGTAAGTGTTGAAATTTGAATTTATAAAGCTGAGTCTTCCTAACTCCAGACCCTGCACTCTTATCCATTGCACCACCTCACCGGTTTATGTGCTTGGCACATAGTAGGTATTTAATAAATGCTTAAATTTATTCAAGGGTGGATTGATTGAACAACCCACTGAAGTAGGGATTGTCTAATCATCCCCATTTTGCAGATATGGACAGTGAGAGGTTCTCCCCCAAACCTACCCTTCTCCTGACCTCCCTATTTCCATCTAAGGCACTGCCATTGTTTGAGTCGTTCATGTTTGCAACCTTGGTGTCATTCTTGACTCTTCATCCTCAGTAACCACACATACCCAGTTCACTGCCATCTTGTTACGTCTACCTGTGCAACATATCTTGCATCCATCCCCACCTCTTTATTCATCCAGCCAGTACTGTAGTTCAGGCCCCCATCACTTTTCATCTGTAATATTGAAATAGCCTCCTAATTGCTTTCCTTGCCTAAAGTTACTCCCCTCTCCAACACATCTTCCACATAGCTGCTAAACTGGTTTTTCTATAAAGCTCTTTTTTTTTAACTTTATCACTCCACTATTCAGTAAGACTGATTTTAAACCCTTCACAACTTAGTTTCAGCCTACTTTTCTAGATTTATTACATATCACTTGCCTTTTAGCACTCTAAAGACAAGACATATTGACCTTCTTGCTATTCCCCATACATGATACTCCACCTCCTGCCTCTGAGCCTTTGTGGTGTCCATCCTCCATGTACTCCCTCATCACCTCTGCCTCTTAGAATCCCTAATTTTCTTCCTAACTTAGTTCAAGCACCATCTTCTACATGGTCATTCTTGATCCCTCATCTTGAAGTTGCTTCCCTCCCCAAGCTCCTTTTTTGTTTCTTTTGTTTGTATTTTAAACATATTTATGTACATGTTGTCTCCCTAGTAGACTATAAGCTCGTTGAGGACAGGGACTATGTAATTTTGAATTATATTACTTAGAATACCTGTCGCATAGTTGTTATTTGATACATGCATATAAATTTATCATTGTGATCTAGAGATCACAGATGTATTTAATATTTGAGACATTTACTTACTTAGTTTCATCATTTAAAAACTTAGCTGAGGGGCAGCTAGATGGTGCAGTGGATAGAGCACTGGCCCTGGGGACCTGAGTTCAAATACAGTCTCAGACCAAACATTTGACACTCACTAGCTGTGTGACCCTGGGCAAGTCACTTAACCCCATTGCCTAGCACCCCCCAAGAAAATTAGCTGAATACCCAAATTCATGAAACAAGACAAAGAAACAAGAAAAAAATAGATATAGATATAGACATCTATCAATCTATCTACAGATCAATCCATCTATCTCTGTTTCCATGTGTAGAAATCTATACATATGAAGAGATATATAATAAACCACAAAAATATCTGTAAAGTTCTAGTCTCAGGTATTGGGAAAATACAAATATCCTTCAGAAAACATTTATTTGGCAAGAGTTTCCAAAACAAACAAAAAGCCTCCAAAAAAACTTTGTCCCAAAAGGATTGCATATGCCAAAAGCTGGTACTCCCTTGGCAAAGTACTTAAAGGAATTACTAAACTTAAAGATATTATCCATTTTTCTTTTACAAGTGTCTTATATTTGCTGAACTATTCTGTGACAAGTAGCTGTTGGAAATGTGCTACCTAGCAGATATTAAAAAAAAAAGCATACTTAATCTGTCCCTTTGAGGTAAAGGTCATATTTTTATTGATACTGTTTTTTAAATATCACTTTAATTTCCTACCATATTCCTTCCTTCTCCCTTGCCCAGAGAGCCATCCCATGTAACAAAGAATAAAAAGAAAGATAGCTTAGCAAAACTAGCTAACATATCTAAAAACTGACACCTTGAGTCAACAAAGGAGGGAGATAACATTCTCATATCTGTTCTTTGGGACCAGACTTGTCTACTATAATTATGTGGTATTTCATTTCATTTTGTTATTCTTTCCATTTACACTGTTGTGGACATTTCATGTGTGTGTGTGTGTGTGTGTGTGTGTGTGTAGTTTTCCTGGTTCTGTCTGCTTCACTTTGCATCACTTCATAAAAGTCTTCTCATGCTTCTCAGTATTCTACATATTCATCTAAAAATAATTGGTAGATGAGACTAAAAAATGATCATGATTTGATAAGTGAAGCCAATGATGTGCTTCCATATTTAAGTCTACATATTTTTCAGCTATGACAGACATTAAAACTAAACTTATACCTACGTACATGTATGTAATTTATAAATGATTTTGTGTATATTGTGGATACATGCTCTATAATTTTATTTTATTTTATTTTATTTTTTTACAAATAGCGGTGGTTGATCAAAAAAGTTTGGACCCTGGGTATAGAAAATTAGAAAATAGTATGTAGTATATGAGAAGTTTCTGATGTACTACATGAATTCATAAGTATCCATACAATAATTTCATGTTTATTGTTTCATGTCTGCATGTCATTCAATTCAACATTTGCTGAGTTCCTGTTATATATAAAGCATTGTTCTCTAATAATTCTTTCATACTCTATCACTTAGTGCTGAGCATATGATAGCCATTCAATCAAGGATGATTGATTGAGCAGTATTCTCACCCCTAGAGTAGAATTTATATTTCTATGGGGAAAGAAATATTAAAGATGAGAAAATTAGTGTGTTTGTTTTTATTCATTTTTTTTCTGTGTTTTTCCCCCTACCTTTAGCTGTGTTTCAGATCATCTCTCTGGTTATTTATCCAGTGATGTACACCCGGCAATTCCTTCAAGGTGATCTTGTTACCAGGTATTATTACAACTGGGCTTATGGCTTTGGATGGGCAGCTACCATTATCCTCATAGGCTGTTCCTTCTTCTTCTGCTGCCTCCCCAACTATGAAGATGATCTCCTGGGCAATGCTAAACCCAGGTATTTCTACACTTCATCTTAAAAGCAGAGAGTAAAAGCAAAAGAATATTGATACTACTTTGACAACTGGATTCCAGAGACAGAAAGACACTCATTTCTTCCCAGACCATACTGAACTTACATGTCTACAGTGATATGCAAAGGATTCAGCTATTTTTGGGCAAATTTTTAAAACGTCATAAAAATTTGAGATTACCTTAGGTACCTTAAATGGTTTTATATTTTTATATTCATGTTTCAGGAGAATTATTGTGTTAAATATGCCTTGTTCCTTTTAATTCATTGCTGACAACATGCCAAAGTTCTCCAAAAAATCTGCCTTTAAAATTAGTATACAGTTTATAAAAATCTAATTAATAACCTAAAGTAATTATTGTATACAATAGAAACTGGAATTGCTTTAGACAGTCAGGTTGTTATTTAATGGACTGGATTTCCTAAGATGGACCAAGGGAAGAGGAGAAGATATTTTTTTAAGTTAGCAATAGTTCTCAGCTGAATATTTTAAGATATGCAAAGTTTTTTTTTCCCCAATTCACCTTTTTGTCTCTTTAAAAAGCATGGTGATAACCTGCTTCCCTAACATTATTCATGATTTCTCATTAACCTTACAAATCCGTGAGTTTTTATTACATTCAATGTTGTGTCTAAAATATCATTTAGGGAAACAAAACAAAAGAAGATCAATGTTGTTGTTCCCAATGGGCCAATGGGCCTATTGCATTTGAAACTCTCATTTTGGAGTAAAATGTTAAGATTTTTTTTCCTTTCAAGTAGTACTTAGGGTTGGGCTAAGGTAAAAGCACTATGCTCATTGGTCTGTATTATTTCTTTGTCTATATGACTCTGGCCAGATTAGACCAGATTGGAAAATGGGGGTCATTTTTGCTTGTGCTGCATATGCCATGCACATAACCCCCATGAATTGCATTGAATTTTTCAGTTCCAGTCTGATTTGGCTGCATTCTTATCGCTATTGCTAAAATAGTCTAAAGATTGTACTTTAAAACCTAAAATGCAGCAAAAAGTCTGGTGGTCCTTGGTAAGTAATATAGAGTTAAAAAAAATTACAATGCACTGAATAAAAGAGTAATAAGAAATGCTGTTTCTACAAATGACCACACCGTGATGTATTTGGGTTTCTTACCATTTATGTTAGCCAACAGATTGAAAGTCAAAACTGAATTTACTTATCAAATTATGCTTTTTGTATATTGCAGAATAAGCAAATGCAAATGTTTTAATTATGAATTCTTCCTAATAAACCAGGTCACCTGTTGCTTGTTTCTAGTATGATTGTTGTATTTATTTCCAAAAATAAAAAGAAGGCTTATGAATAAATATTTGTTTGGAGATAGTAGGGCAAACTTTGCATAAGATGAAAAGTTGCTCTATTATTCCTTGTTTCCTCACAAACTTTGATCCCTCCTAATGACTCGCTCAGAATTTTTTTCCCTTAATGCATAGCATCATAGATTTATAGGAGGCATGTTAGAGATCATCTGGCCCCATCCTCTAACTTTGGAGTTGAGAAAACTGCGGCATAGAGAGATTGAGTGATTTGCTGATAGTCATAAATATGGGATCATTTCCATGCTGTTTTGCCATAAAGGGAAATGCATCACGGTTCTGCTCTATGCAAAGACACTCCATAATAATAATAGCTGAAAATCTATATAGAACGAGAAAAGTACTTTACAACAACACTCTTGGGAAACACGTGAAATTATTCTCTCCATTTTCAAGATGAAGAAAATGAGTCTTAGAATAAGTGACTTGCTGAGGGTTACACACTGGCCTAGTGTCTGAGATGGGATTTGAACCTCAGTCTTTCTGATTTTAAGTCAAGTCCTTTATTTACTGTACTATATTTTCTCTTAGTGAAAATGTCCTTCATTTGCTCCAATGAATGTTGATCTATGTAGATTATATCTACCAATATTAGAAATTAAACTATCTTGGTGGTATTATTATAAAAATAATTTTTTACCTTGAAGCCCTCCAAGGTCCCTGGATCACACTTTGAGAATTGCTGCTGCATTAGACCTAAAGACGAATGAAGTTTTCAAGACCTTGCTGTTCTTATTCCCTGTGTTTTACCTGAACTATCTTTCCTTACTTGTTTTGCCCATATTAAAGCATTTCCTCTTCTTCTCCATCCTCTAAATGTACTTGAACTTAAATTATCCTCACTGAATTAGATTCAATTACTACATATAAGGAAACACTCTAATACAGGTCATCAGATATTAGTGGGTCAAGAATAATATCTTAGAAAAAAAAGAATAATAGCTTAGTAAATGTTGGTTGAATTGAACTGAATTGGATTAACACTGTATAGTGGTGAAAGGGAGAGAACAGAGATTTTTTTTTTGTCCGAAGCTATGGACTTTGGACCTTAAACCCTGCTGGTTACTTTGCCTTGTATCCCAGTATGTCTTGTGCTTCCTAGTATAAGCTCAAAGGAATGTGAGCAGAGTGAATCTTATTGAAAACAAAATAAACCACTACCTCTTCTACTGTTGCTAGGACCTTCAATGTGCACAATGACCAGTTCAACCACACCACTTCTGAATATAGCTCAATGAGATAATGGGGACACAAGGTCTGACAAATAGAGCTCCATGTTCCTTATGAGCTGCTGTGTCTGAAACCTTCCAACCAGACACTCCAGAAATGATGACACACAAATCATCATCCCTTTGGCTGGAACCTCATTTGGCCCAAAGCAAGGGATGGGGTCCTCCACACCTTGATGGGTAAGACTCTGTAGAGTAGATACTCATATGTCATATCTGGAGAAATAACCTAGAAACTGCCTGAGGGAAATGAAGTACTTGTCTGGGAAGCCATCTCAAGACTAAGAACACATTGCATACAATTTTCTCATGGTAAAGCTGGGCTGCTAGTAACACTATCATTACTGCACAAGTCCCCACCCTCTTCACTTTATTTTCTTTCAATAAGCAGGTATGGTTTCCCAAACAATTATCTCACACGCAAGCTGTTAAATGGTCCAGTATGTTTGGTGCTATTTACCATTGGACAGAACAAAGAAAAAGATACATCGAGCTTTTCTGTAGTCACACAATAGAGTTCCATGGTGTAATTAACCTTAACTTTAAAAACCATATGCTGCAGGGATGACAGTGAAATGTGATGACATTGTTTGATTTTTTTTAAAAGATCGAAACATAAAGAGAATGTTAGCATAATAACTTAGATTATTATTATTATTTGCTACATCTTGGGAAATAGCCCCTATAAAGATGTAATTTGGCAACTGCTTTTGCAGATGCTATATTCACAGACACTAAAGACCCGGAAAAGAATGTTCTTTTCACCAAAGTCCTTGGTACCATCAAACAGTTCATCAGAAACCGCTATGATTTGGCTGTAGAAATGGCATTAAAAAAGAAGCATTGCCATCTGCCTAAGGACCATGGAACCTTTCCGTCAGATTTGCAGCTGAAACCTTCTGTTGTCTCTTCCATTATAATATGAGCGCCTTTAGACTAGGGACTGTCACATTTTCTATTTGTATCCGCAGCACTTAGCACAATGTTTTGCACATATCGTTGTTGTTGTTGTTTAGTTGTGTCCAACTCTTTGTGACCTCATTTTGGGGGTTTTCTTGGCAAAGATATTGGAGTGGTTTGCCATTTCCTTCTCCAGCTCTTTTTACACATGAGGAAACTGAGGCAAGAAGGGTTAAATGACTTGCTCAGGATCACACAGCTAGTAAGTTTCTGAGGCCAAATTTGAACTCACAAAGATAAGTCTTCCTGACTCTATACCTGGTGCTCTAGCCACCATTGCACCTAGCTGTACATAGTAAGTGTCTAATAAATGCTTTTTCATTCATTCCATCATTCAAGTACTATTGTGAAGGCTTAAAGCCTCAAAAATGGTAGGTATGGCAGGAAAAGAAATTTGGGGCAGTTGGGACCTTATTTGCCCCATCAAATTATGCTTCAGTGATAAAGGCTTGACTAATTTCCTTTAGAATTAAGAGATAGTCATAATTATAGAAATTATATTACTTTTTCAGTTTTCTTTTTCTTTTCTTTTCTTTCTTTTTTTTTGGCAATGGGGGTTAAGTGACTTGCCCAGGGTCACATAGCTAGTAAGTGTTATGTGTCTAAGGCCAGATTTGAACTCAGGTCCTCTTAATCCAGGGCTGGTGCTCTATCCACTGCACCACCTAGCTGCCCCCAACTTTCTCAGTTTTCAAGAAAGAAAAATGCAATTTGAGTATATATTCTATTCTTTAGGTTCAGACCCAAGTAAAGGTTACAGAAGAAATTCAAATAAATTTAACAGGTGTTTATTAAGTGCCTAGTCCATGCAAGGCACTGGGGATAAAAAGAAAGAAAAGAAACAGGCCCTGCCTTCAAAGAGTTTACATTCTACTGATGGGGAGGGAAATAGAATATGTGCACAGAGAAGGAAATCTGTCATTTCAGGAGGCAAGGAGGATTTACAACTAGGGAACAGAAAAGGTTTTAATCAAGAATCAGGAAGATTAGCACCTAAGATAATCAGAAATTCATAATAAGCAAAATGCAAGAAAAGAGTCAGTAGCAAAACCCATGGTCTCAAACATCTACTCACAAATGCACAGAGATTAAGCAACAAACAAGAAGAACTAATGCACAGAGACAAATTTGACCTCGTATGTATCACTGAGACTTGGTGGGAGGAAACCCAATTTTCGCCCAATTAATTGGTTTCGGGTTGGGGTTTTTTTTTGGTCTGGCAGAAATTAAGCTTAGAACAGCATCTTGTATCATTTTCTAAGATAAGTTCTAAATGATAAGAAGTAGATCATATGCCTTCCACAGATATGGGTAAAGGGATAAAATCTCAAACAAAAGATATATTATGAAAGAAAAATAAATAATTATGATTATATAAAATTCAAAAGTTTTGTACAAGCAAAATTAACGCACCTATGACAAGTGTTTGACAGGGAAAAAACTTTGTATCGATTATTTCTGTTGATATCTGAGATACAGACAACAGAAATATATTAAGACCAAAAGCCACACTACAATAATTAAGTTGTCAAAAGATATAAACAAAAAATTCTCAAAAGGAAAATTTTAAGCTATTAAAATCATATTAAAGAATGTTCTAAATCACTAATGATAAAAAAAAATGCACATCAAAACAGTTTTGAGGTTTCACCCAATGCCCGGTAAACTGGCAAAGGTGATAAAATGATAGGAAGAGTGACTGTTGGAGGAAATGTGAGAAAAAAGGAACACTCACGTATTGTTAGTAAAGCTATAAATTAGTGTAATCATTCTGGAAAGCAATTTGGAATTTTGCAAATAAAGTGGCTAAAATGTCCATACACTTTGACCCAAAGAATAACTGCTAGGTAGATATACCCCCCAAGGAGATCATTGACAAAAAGAAAAGTCTTCATATATGCCAAAATATTAATAGCAACTATTTTTGAGGTACTAAAGCACCGGAAAAAAAGTGGATGTATATTTCATTGGAAGATGGCTAAACAAGGTGTAGTACATGAAAGCAATGGAATACCATTGTACCATAAGGAAAAAAAAAACATAATGACTATAGAGAAGCACGCTTTTATGAATTGATGTAAACTGAAGTAACGAGTCAGAAAAAACAATCTACACAGTGACAACGACAATAAATAGAAGGAACAACTATAAGACAATTGAAACTGAAGAGTATAAAATTATAAAGAACAATCTCCTTTGCACAATTTAGGGTTCATGGATATGGAACATTGCATATAATGTCAGATTTTTTAAACATATTGATTGATTTTGATTAGGTTTTTTTTTCTCTTCTACTTTTTTTTCTTTCTTCTAAAAATTGTTTGTAATAGGGGAATGACTCTTTACAAGGTAGAGGGAGAGAGTTAAAAGGAGAAATCTGGGTGATATAAAAACAAAAGATATCAATAAAAATATATGTGTTTTAAAATGACCACACTCAATTAGTGTGTAGTTGTGTGTGCATCTCTATTGCCTCTATTGCTGGGTTTGGGTTGGTTCCTTGAAGGACAGCCCAGTGATCCTCTGTGAATTATACATGGAAGGAGACATGACTTAGGATCAATGGAGAGACTGAGGAGAGAGAAGGGAGAAAAAGAAGGATGTGGTGAGAAGGTGAGGCATGGACATTGAATAGTATACAGAGACTTCCCTAAAGTTGAAGGTCATGTGGAGAAAGCAAGCACCCCAACATGTCCCTTGATTCCCAGCACCTGCATCCCCAGAAACCGCTAAGAATGGACTCCTTGAGTGAGA